AGTGTACGGAATGTTGAAAGAAGGAATAGGGTTCAAGGATTACCTACATGGACCAATGGATGCAGGGACAAAGCTTAAGGTCAAATTCAGGACCGGGGACATAGGCCTTCGCGAACGTCGACGAAGACATAGGACGGTAGACGACGAAGACGACAAGTTCAAATGCGATTGCGGCTTCGAATGCGAAGACAGTGTTCATGTAGTCGCGGAATGTCCGTGGTACGAAAAGGAGAGGGAAGTGTACATGACTGAGCTGGGAAGAATACAAGGGACGTACAGGGAGATGTTTGAGGCATGGAATAGAGAGGAGAGGACGGTAGCGGTACTGGGGAGTAGAAAGTGGTTTGAAAAGGCGGGAAGTGACATCGGTAGGATAGACAGACTAGGGAAGACATTTTTGAGCCACCTTTGGCAAAGTAGGAAGGAACGATTGGCCATCGGTGATCGGTCCTGTGGGAACAATGCTCCGTCCTCTCGAGGACGCGTGGTCAATGGTCTAACCGCTAAGGCATGCAAAGCATAAGAGTACGCCCCCCCCCTTGGCGAGCAAAGGGGGTACGCAAAAAAATGACAAATTTCGAAAGCATCGAGAAAAGCGAAAGATTGACTGACGAAGTAAGGGAAATCTGTGTTTTGTGAGAAGCGGCAGAAATAAACCGTTGGCCAATCAGAAAGCAGGAAGCGGACGAGCGTGTTGATTCCTGTTTTCAGTATATACTCGCTTCGCCGTGTTTAACCGGGGGCGAGCGAGAGCACGTGTGTGTGCTTGTGGTGGCCAAGGGTTGTTTCTGCCGTGACGTTTCTTTTTCCCACCCACCCACCCTTGCTTTTGGGGGTGTCAGTGGACATGGAAATCGGAGCGGCGGCGTTGTGTCCAATGTGATGGCCTGTCGGGGGGATTCACTGTGTAGCCGCAGTCGGGGTCGCGTGTGCCTATGCTGGGCGCGGTTCCGAGGTGCTCGTCCCCATTTCCATTTTTTTCTGAGTGGGATGTGTGTGTATCGCATTTACTTCAGGTTGTATATATGCAGGACGCATGTTGGTGTGTGTATCGGACCGTTGCATGGTTGGGGGCGTGCACTATTGGCTGCTGTGTGCGGCTGCGTTGGTGCTGCGCGCTTCCCCGTTGCGTGCGTTACGAGTCTGATTGATTGGTGGACACCCGTATATATTATATGATTAATTGTACGTGGGGTCCTGGCGACATGTGTGTTTTTTTCTGCAGTGCGATGGAGTGTCAGGGGAACAGAGAGTAGCGAGAGACGGGAAACTGGTTTTTTCTTGGTGGCCCGAGTGTTTCGCCTAGTGGCGATGTTAATGTTGATGGGCCTTGTGGGGTTCTCTCGTGGTTTCAGTATGAACACATAGGTGTGGTTACCAGGGGGCAGACAGAGTGTATATATTTCTGTCCGTTGGGTGGCTGATGTTTATACTGATCGTAAGGAGTAGACCGGGGGCGTGTGTGGTGTGTTGCCCTGCCTGGTCTCCGCTCTTTTCCCCTCCCCCTTGGCGAGCAAAGGGGGTACGCAAAATAATGACAAATTTCGAAAGCATCGAGACAATGTATGTAGTAGATTGTGACGTCAGATGACCTGTCGTCGGAGATCTACCTTCGGGGTGTTGCCACAGATAGAGTCAGTGTCGGATGGATGCTGAACCTTGCTTCAACACAACTATCCGTACTCGTCAGCCTCTTCACCAGAGGTTGAATCGGTGTGTATCCACACCACACATCCCAACGGGAACTTGCTCACACGCGAACCTGGAGACAACCGTCTCATAATTGCGCATTTTTCGAATTTTGGCCCCCTTCCAGGGACCTTGAGTTTAACCGCTGGCACTGACGTATTTTCATTGGTCAGCAAGTTGGCGCGGTCGATGCTACTGCTGTAGTATGTAAATAATATAAACATACACATGCCGCACACACATCCTTCACTCACTCGCACAACTCTGACTGCCCCCCACCGCGCAAACAAACGCCCTGCACCATGAAATTCTCCTCTGCCCTAATCACGGGGGCTTCTCTCCTATTCGCTGCTGTTGCTGTAGCTGCGAAAGAAGGCACGAGCTGTTCATCATCAACTGCTGCTGATGCGGATATTAGAGGGTGCCCGGATCCAGTTGGAGCCGTCCTTGCCTTGTTTGACTGCGTCACGAAGAAGGATAGTGCGTGCGCTGCTGCTGCCTATGACCCCGGCTTCCAACGCTTTCACAATGAGGAGTCTACTGGGGCTATGGCAGGTGAGGAAAAGGCACAGCAACAGAAGTCATAGAGAGAAGCAACCTGGGCATGCACTCGGAAAGATTAAAATGCATACAACATACATGTTATGTAGACTACCGCTCCCATTGCTGTGTAGACTACTGCTGTAGCCTCTTGGAATAATACGGTACGCCGCCACAAGCAAGGTACGCATATTATACAAGAAGATGTGCTGTGACGAAGAAGGCAGATGTGCTCTCCATTTCCGCTGTAATATACCCACGACCAACATGACGAGGTGAATAAAGAAAGGATGGTGCGTTTCATGGTGGCGTCAACAAGATTGATGGGAGCGATATTTTGTTTGAGTGGCTTGCTGCTACAGCAGTAACACGGCTTGCTGCTGCTGCTGTAGACTATAATTCGCTTCTTCATGCCTCGCGAAAACATTGTAGAGCGACACATTGTAATGTGAAGACAACAACAACAACACAGACGGGCAAAACGAGCAAGCAAACAGAATCAGAGATTATTATGTTGTACATCCCAGTCTGAAGAGTCACCATGCAATTGATGCGGAGGGGGGGCTGGAGGCACCACTTCAAGCCTCGACCCTTTCGTCCATATGGCCATATGGAAGGACAGACAGACGTGTCTGTTCCTGGTTCGCATCGCATTCATTCCTTGCGGAGAATCTCGAAAGAACATGCGCCGCCGGGCTGCACCACCGGCATTGAGTGTAGAGTACACATACTTGTAGACAGTAGACAGAGAGAGGGCCGGGAGAGAGAGAGAGAGAGAGAGACAGAGGCCAACCGACAGACAGACAGAGACAGGAGCGAATCACAATCGCCAAGCGCCCAGGGTGTACTTCAAAGTTCGCACAAACCAGCGGACCAGGGGACCAGCGGGGCTTTGGGCTGCGGGCCAGACCCAAGCTGGCAGACCCCCTGTAGATCTATGACTTGGTATGGATGCATACATATGACGCATATTTATCGTTGGAATATGCCGCGCATGTAGCAACCAAGACTTAAACAAGACTTACTTACACGGCGTACACCCCCGCCGGGACACAAAAACAGCTGCTTGTATCCATAGACTACAACTTCAAGTAACGACCTCGATTAAAAAATCTTGGCGTCCGCCAATTATGTACTTCTACTATTGTTCGCTGTCCCGTATGCGTAACTTGGCGCCTTTGGGGATTTCTCTATACAAATTTTGGCGCCCAGGTTCGTTCCGAATTTTTTGGCAAATTTTTGATGTACCGGGACAGAGCTTCTAGGAGTTTTAATTATTATGCGGGCGAAGCCCGCCAATAAACGGTGAAACCCATTCATCTGCGAGCCAAACGCTTTCAAAATGTTGCACCTCACTCTATGAATCGATGAAGGAAAGGAGACACCAGAGCAGAGGTGCCGTCACTGGGGCAGCAAAAGAATCGCCGTGCATATATTTTGCCATGCGGGTTGTCAACAAACCGACGCGTCGGGATGGATGGATGGATGATTGATGGCGATTGCTTTGGGTGGGGTGTTCACTCCAATAAAGAACCTACCGATAGATGGAGTCAAGAGAGCGAAAAAAAACAACGCGGAGCTGCCAGAGCATCATCATCACGTTACTTGAAGTGTTCTGGCGAGAGGACGGGCGTGCAGATGATATAAAAGCATGCATGGATCCCTGGGTGTGGGTACTACTGCTGTGCTGCAGTAGCTCGACATAAAATATTCGCGTGTGTGTGCGTGATGCGTGCGTTCGTGTTTGTATAGCTCTTCTTCTAGCGGGTGCTGCTGCGTACTCGTCATCGACACTCAGTGTGGATTGACATCGCGAAACTTCGTGCACACAGAAACCAGAGTGGTCTCTGCTGCTGTTGGCGTCTGGTATGCGTCAGTTGCAGCGCCCAGGCTCCCGCCTGATGTGTGTCGGTCTCTGAACTGGTTGGTTCGAATGCGGTGCGCGCAGAAGAAAAAGCGGCGTAATTGCCAAAATTACTCGAAAATAGACAAGACGCCAAGTAGGCGCCAAGTTAAATGGAGACAGTTGATTGGCGGACGCCAAGTTAAATCTGTCCCGGTGGCTTTTTTTTGCTGCCAATTTTTTTAATATATTTGGACAAACGCCTCTCTCTCTGTAAAAGTTCCGGAATTAATTTCGGAAAATTTGTACTTAGGAACAAAAAATTGAATGAATTTAGACTAGACTATATAAAAACGGCCCTATCGAGCAATTCCAATTATTCCGCTTTCGGGATAGACTACTCGATACACAAACGGGGGTGCTGCAACTGGCACCTATCACGCGCCCGCAGCAGCATAGAATCTCCGAGCTGGTCTGTCTGTGTGAAGTTTCGCGATGCCAGTGTATCCGCATGAATGACGGTAAATATTTGGCGCAGCAGCACACACACGAAGATCTCAGAAGAGTTACACATACATCACGAGCAACGTACCCACACCCAGGGATGGATCCGGGTGGTGTGCGTTTCAACAGCAGTGCGTCGTCTACACGCCCATCCTCTCGCCAGAATTTTTGGTAGAAAAGATTGATGGTATCTCCTGCATCTATAGACTACACGTTCTTTCTTGTTCGCTATATCGTGAACTCCATCTGGTCTTTGTAATCAAGGCACTGACATTGACTGGCGAAGCAATCACCAACAACGCTTGAGAGGCTGCAAAGATCTAGTCATATTAATAGTACATTCATCGTACGATCGATGAAAGACACGCAAACAACCGGTTGTTTCTTCGCTGCCGCCGTCACGATAAAAGAAGCACTACGCATGCATATAAACGAGCACATCACCGAGCGCGCGTGCAACCACCTAACGAACAAGCTCGCTACCACCGACAAAAACGCGCGCGTGTCAAGAGAAGAAAAGACACATGCAAGCACTCAATAAAACACAGGTATCCAACCCAAGCATCGAAGCACAAAGAGAAGGAAGACAACATACTAATTTGTTGCGAATGAAAGAGTGATTGCGATGTGGCTACCAGATTTCCGGGTCTTGCACTCTATTGACGGCTATCGATGTGGTAGCATCGTGCAGTGCAGCGCCAACGTTTCGTGGGGCCTGTTAGATATACTCGCAGCAGTATCTGGTCGTGAGGATCCCAGGGGGATACGTGTTGGGAATTTCGTGTGTTGTGGGGTACCACCGGTGCAGTCACGGGGACCCTTTTGGCGTGGCGGATGTGATGAGGCTTGCGTGCGTGCAGCTCACTTCCTCTCTCTCCACCGCTACCGCCGTCGCTCTCTCCAATCAAGTTTCCTTCTCCAACGCTTACTCCAACGCCACCTCAATCTCTCTCTCGCGGCCTAACACGGCCGACTACCCAGTGCCCCAAGTAACGCCCAACACGGGCTTGCTGCACCCCAGCGTAGTTTACCTTTCACACTAGTGCGATATCACGGTATCTGCGCGCGGGCGTAGCCTTCCGGGGGTTGTGCAGTCACGCGCAATCGGTAGACTCCCACAACACCAAACATCATGGAGGACATCGACCTCTCCGCCCTCAGCGGGGAAGAGCTACAACAAAAAGTGGAGGAAATCGTCCAGCAACGAGTGCAAGCCGAACTCGAAGCCAACAGGATCAACGAGGGAGAAGTCACCATTGCCCAACCACCAGCCGGCAACCCAGCCACTCCAGCGGGCAACCCAGTCCCACCTACTGGTAACCAACCATCACCCTCCAGCCAGGGTACACCAGCCACATTCAACGACCCCAGCAGCGTCGCACACATCGTGGCGCAAGCGGCTAAGGCGACAGCTGAGGCCATCGCTCAACAACAGGGCTTTGCCCGCTCAGGCACGTTTCGTGTCAATCCTGGCTCAGAAATAGAACCTTGGCTTGGTAGCGTGAAGAAGGAGCAGGACTTGTATGTTATGTTTGATATTTTTCGTGGTAAGATGATTTCATATTTTCAGGAGGAGGGTGTGCATGATGCGTTGGAACTGGAGGTCGAGGTCAAGGTTGGAAAGGTGTGAATGTAGCAGAGCTTCGGAGACTTTTTGGCAATAATGTGGTAGACAAGTCTTTCAAACTATGGAATATTCTCATCAGCAAGGTCTTGTACCCCCCGATTCAGAGTTTGATTCTGGTGTGTGAGAGTCCACAAAAAGGCTGGAAAATAGTGACCGAGTTCTATCAAGAGAAGAAGCAGTCAGAAAAGTCTAGGTTGGAGCAGGACTGGAAGGAGTTGGAGATGAAAGAGTCGGAGAGTCCACAGGACTATATTGCCCGGGCAGAAGCCCTTCGCCTGCGTCTAGCATCTGTAGGCACGATTATGGATGAAACAGATGCCAACAAAGACATTGTTCGTGGCCTTCCCTCTTCGTTGTATGTCGTGCAAAAAGGAATACTGCTTGCCCATGATGTCCTGACGTTGCGTACCCTTGAGACTGTGGTGAGGGACGCCCACGTGGAGATGGAGCGCGAGAGGAGCAAGGGGGAGAGGCGCGAGGTGGAGCTCGCTCTCGCCGCGTCCGGCATGGGCCGGCGCGGCGGGGGCAGTGGGGGGGCATCCGGGGGTCAAGACGGCGGCCACGGAGCAGCTGGCGGTCCAGATCGTGACGGAGAGAACAAAAAGGGTGACGTGTTCAACGACGACCCCGACGGATTTTGCCGCTACCACCAGTCCGATTTTCACACCAACGAGCAGTGTCGTTTCCACAAGAAACTGCGGCGCGCGCGTTCGAGAGAGGGCGCCGAGGAACGCCGCTCGGGCGGCGGCATCCGCGGTAGCGGCGGTAGCCAGCGAGGGGGTAGACCGCCGCCGGGACCCGACCGCGGTGGCGGGCGATGGGTGAGGATAGAGCAGCAGCACCACACCGGTCATGGTGGCGGTGGCTGGAGCCAAGCCTCACCCCCCCCGCGACCTCTTCGTGGACGTGGGCCTGGTGGTCGTCTGGGGAGTCACACGGGGGGTCGTGGGCCCGCGGGACACCATAGCAGCGACGGTCGTGCCGAGAGAGAGCGGGCAGGGAGAGGCCCGGGGCACGCGCGTCCTGGCCACAGAAGAGAGC